ATTCTTTTCTGTAAGATTAAATATTGGTATTGCATTTCAATTTCAAATTTGAAATATAAATAAAAATATTTTAATGTATTTGATTATGATTCTTGAATATTTTTATAAGTATAAAATTGTCACACACACACACACACACATTATTTTAAACATAAGCTCTCTATATATATATATATATATATATATATATATATACATAAAAATACAATAAAATATATAAATATTATTTTTATATAATATTTTACTTCTCAAGTAAATGTATCTTGATTGGAAATTTGTACTGGAAAACGAGACAAAATTGCTAAGTAAGAAAATATTTTTGCATTGTGGTATAAACATTAAAATCAACAGAATAAATGTGAAAAGAAAAAGTGAAATGATGGATTAACTGAAACTGTGGCTCCTGGAATGACGTGACTGTGGTGTATGCCGATAATCCCATCTCAAATTAATTTCAACAAACCTAAGCAAATTGCAAACCAACAGTATTTGTCTTCAGGCAAACTCTGACTTATCTGTGATTTAGACATGCTTTTCTCTTGCTGGAAACAATAGAGTGATTGAACTGTGCTTCCAGGTCATGTGATCATTGGCTTTGCCATGTATTATTTCACCTATGACCCCTGGATTGGGAAACTGCTCTACTTGGAGGACTTCTACGTCATGAAAGAGTTTCGGGGTATGAATGTGACCTTATACATTTGAGATATCATACTGTCAGATTTATGAGACACCGTCATGTAACACACTTTTCCTTCTATTAAAATTAGGTTTTGGAATTGGGTCTGAAATCCTGAAGAAACTGAGTCAGGTAAGTTTCAACTTCCTTTATATAGCACCAAAAGGATCAATAACATCTATTTCTATGGCATGTGAGGAAACTGTTCATGTATGTTGTTCAGATCACATAGTTACCCTTGTGAAAAAGAAGTGCGCTTAATTGTATTGAATGTGCACTTGTAGCGTACAATCTTATAAGTGTATATTTAAAAACTAAAAATATAAAAATACTATAAAATATATATAAAATCCTACTTAAGTGTACTTAAAGAGACACTTTCATGACTATGTTTCTTAACACGCTTAAGTACACTTTTAAGAAGTGCACTTTGTAATGATGTTTTACTTCAAAGATTTAATAAACTTTTATCATGCTTTAAAGTACACTTATATTGATGTGTTGGCTAACATACTACAGCACATATAAAGTACTTGATTATCATTTTAACTGTTTAATATTACATTGAAAGTTAATATATTTTAAATGTACTAAATTTCGACATCATCGTTACTATATGAAATTCCAAATATAGCCTACTTAAAAACATTTCATTCAAGTTTCCACAGAAATCACATTAAAGTATATTTTAGTTAACCATAAACATAAAGATGTACTACTTAGTCCTACTTAAGTGAGTCAAAAAACTATGCATTTTTACTATGCATACATTAAGTATGCATTTGATGTAATATAAACTTATTTTATTTATTTTAATTAAATTGCAAATAACATGCAGTTAAGTGTCTGAAAACATCACATTCAGTTTGCACTTAAGTATATATATTTTAAAGTATATACACTGTAAAAAAAAAAATTTGAAATTGAAAATAAAACGAAGATTAATGGAGTACATTTTACAAGAAAATACTATTTCAGTCTTTCTCCTTAAAATTTCACATTTAATTCAATGTGTTACTCGCCGTTACTTTCTTTGAAATTATTTGTGAAATTTACAAACAATTTCTGAGTTAAAAAAAATTTCTACACCAGCTTTTTTTCTGTTTATTTTTTTAAAAGCATGCTGAAGTGTACTTCTTTTTCACAAGGGTACCAAAGCTCAAAGTATACAATACTAGTTAATAATTAGTCCCAGGTTAATGATCTAACATTACAGCACCTCTAATCTTCTTCCTGGCAGTATATCGTGTACTCAGTCAGTTTTCTCCAATCATTGGCTGGTTTTCTGCAGACGGCGGTCAGGACTCGGTGCAGCAGCATGCACTTCATCGTGGCGGAGTGGAACAAATCCTCCATCGAGTTCTACAAGCGGCGTGGAGCGTCTGATCTCTCGCTGGAGGAAGGGTGGAGGCTCTTCAAGATCGACAAGCAGAACCTGCTCAAGATGACCAATGAGGAGTGAAGCGGATGTCAGGAGACTGTTGCAGTCTGTGATTGACCCTCTGGTGCTGGTGTTCACTGAAGTGGACAGATCTTCAAAAGTCATTTTGAAGCATTCAGGGTGTGATGTTACATCCAAAACCTTTCATTCTGACCCATAATTACAATTCTCTCTACATAATTTTGAAAGATTATATTCTTGTTTTGAAGTACATTAAGATATTTTCTTTTCTTTTGTGATTTAATAATTCATGAATCAGAGGCTTTCTGCCTGTCATGCAATGTAGTGATGTATATATAGACGCGGCATATTCACTTCTCTGTATACTTCAATCTTAAATTATTTTTAAATAAAATGTTTAAAATAGAACATATTTTTTTACACTTTAATCCCTCATCTTTTTCATTTTTGTTATGAGATCTGATGTTTCCCCATTTTATACTTAGCAACAAAACGATTCTACAAGGTGAGACAAGTGTTGGCAGTTAAAGCAAAAATGACTTTAGATGAACATTACATTTGTGCTTCATTTTTTTTTTTTTTTTTACTGAAGTGCATTGAACTTCTACTGCATCCTATTCTTCATGCAATCCAGAATGGCAGCACAACTGAGATTTGTTTGAGCTGTGGCCTCTGCTGTACAGACATGAATTTACATTTCCTTCAGCCTGAGGTTTATTCATTTCACTTTTGATGTGAAAGCCCAGCCCAGATGAGAAAAAGTAACTCAAAAGTAGTGTAATGCATTACTTTCCATAAAAACACAACTAGTTACTTTTTTAGGGAGTAATGCAATATTGTAATGCATTACTTTTAAAAGTAACTTTCCCCAACACTGGACAAGACACTATAGACAAAAATGTAGGCACTTTATCTATTTGCATTTCTAGAGATTTCAGTTACAATACATATCTTTAAAGGCTGTTTTTTCAAAATGAGTTTTTTTTCCCAGTTCATACACCAAACTTAGCAGGTTTATTCCTATCTACATTCTGAAGGTTTTTACTGGGGGGTTTGTTCATAATATAATATTTTACCCTAAATATGGTGAAATTGTATTTGTTTTCTGGCTGTTGACAGTATTTTCTGATTTATGCATTGATAAAAGAGATCCCTTCTGTAAAAACCTTTAACTCTAATATGTTGACAAAATTAAACAAGAAGATTTTTGTTCAGGAAATGTATGTATATTAGGGCATTTTTAATTAGATAATGCCTCATATGCTTGTTTAAACATAACATTTCAGAAAACTTCCTGTGATTAATCAACTGAGGAGGTGTGGTGGTGGTTGTCTTGCCCTGCAGTCACTAATTTTATCCCTTAAAACTCATCTTTGATCATAAAAATTACATATTTAAACATTTTTCCCATAAAAAATAATTTGTTTTAAAATGGCTTGAATATAACTCTATAATAAAAATGACATATTTAATCATTTCTTTTCCCACATGAAAATAATTTGTTTTAAGATGGCTTGACCTTATTTAGTATACACGGATCTATGAATATGCTAATTGTCCCTGCCTCCGCTCTATCACACCAGGGGCTTGTACTATGATGGAGGCTGAACAAACTCAGGGTTACAGGATTATTTTTGTGAAAACCAAACCAGTCCAATCCGGCTTTGTTGGTACCATGATGCTGATCATCAACTTTCTCTGTCAACTCAGGCTTTGATCCTGAGCATGAAAGTGTGACATCAGTAACAAACAGCCAATCACATGCCTTGAAATTCTGATTCACTTCTCAAGAGAGAGTCAGTGCGATTCACTACCAAAGATTAAAAGAATCTATCCATGAAAGAGGACAACTTAAAGAAAACATCTTGTCATATCAGTGCAAGTAAAAGTTGTGAAGTCAGTTTAGTTGGTAATATTTATAAGTATAAAAACACTTTAAAATCTAAGCTCATATGTAGTCATGTTTAAAGCTATTGATTCTAAAACTTATTTATATTGCATATCTTTTTATGTTTATATTCATTTAAAATAAAAGCTTAATAATTATTATTAAACTAAACACGGCTCGTGTAATATAATAATTGTATAAATCATATAAAATAATTATAATAAATAATCATCTCTAAAAGCCAGATGATTTGATCTATAAAAATGTTTTACAGGAGCAAGAGAAACTGGGGGAGTGACTTTATTGTGTAAGAGATGTGTCACTTTGCTCGAAGCTGATTGGTCAAATTTAGGTTTGCGATCTCTAAACCAGAACATAACCTGCTCCAGAGCAGCTTAGCCATGGAGCATAAGTTATTAAGGCGATGAACACCGATTAAAGCCGAGCTACATTCATGGTACCTAAAACCCAGAGTTGGCGCAAACTAAACTGAACCTTACCTGGCTAGCCAGCTAAACCGGCTTCATGGTACAGGCTCCAGAAGTCAGCATTGAACAAAACTCCGGCGTTTTGATGTGTTTTTTTAACCTTAAACCGCATAAACACATTTCATTACGCCAAATACACAAAATAATGTTCTTTTTAGCAACATCATATGACCCCTTTAAGCATATTTAAACACCAACATGTTTGTTTTATTTACAGATTTGAAAAATCATTTTTTACAGTGTAGTTTTGTTTCTGTCTGTTTTATTAGTAACACTATTAATAACAATAGCACTCTCTATTTTATCTACTTGTTTTCTTTTTATTTATTTTAAAAAAGTTTGGCCATTGTGTTCAAGAAATCAACAGATATGTCTGTGATTGGCTGCACTGCTCAACGCTGCAAACACACTTTGTAAATAGAAACCTATGACCAGTGGATGAAAAGCCCTGCCCCGCAGATTGACGGGATTGATTAAATGATTGTGACGTAGGAAACAGGGGCAGTATCAAACAGCGTTTTGTGATTGTCTTTAAGGAGAAAATGCTCAGCAATGGTGTTGACTGATGCATTTGCACATGGTTTTAAAGGGGTCATATGATGTGATTTCAATTTTTCCTTTCTCTTTGGAGTGTTACAAGCTCTTGGTGCATAAAGTTGCAAAAACTAAAGTCTCAAATCCAAAGAGATATAATAAAAGTTAAGAGTCAGCCACGCCTACCTAAAACGGCTCGTTCTAACACGCCCCCACATATCTACATCACTATGTGGGAAGATTTGCATAACGTTTTGAAATGAAGATTTTGAATGAAGACATAAAGATTTGCCAAATGTTCACGCAAAGAAAGAAGGCGTAACTTTTATTCTTGCTGTAGTATTGTTGCTGCCGCCATGTCGTGAAGGCGCTGTGTGCTTCGTTGTGAAAGCGAAACTACTTTGTTTGGTCTTCCAAAAGAGGACGATATCCGCTTCGTCATGCCTGGAGCTGATCCGTGCTGGTTGCTGAGGAAATACAACAACTTTGCGCTGTGGATCACCGGATCGGCTTTCACCGTGGATGAAGCGGAGTCCAGCCCGGGGTCGTCACATGTGGTTGCCGCAAGCCTCCTTCGTCGAATCCGCTGGCCGCCGCTCACTCAAGGCCGTGTGTGACGCTGTGTGTTTCGTTGTGAATAAATTTAACTTTAAAATTTTAACTGGTTTCCAAAAAAACATGTTCTTTTCTCTTTTTAGTTTTTTGGTCACATGTATGTGTGAGCAGCTCTGTTAAGCTGAGGATACTTCTTTTCTATCTACTTTTTATTCTGTTAATTTATATATATATATATATATATATATATATAAAAACCTTGCTACGTGCACTGCATTAGACTAACCGAGACTTCACAGCACTTACATTATTGCTCTTTTGTTGGCCCTCATTTGTATAGGTTGCTTTGGATAAAAGCATCAGCTAAAAGATTAAATGTAAAGGTAAGTTAGTGGTGTTTGCTCATACTTTGGATTTGAACAAACATCTAACAGTATTACAGTTGCAAGCATTGCTCAGTCCAGCTGTATTACAGGCAGTTGTTTGTTAATGTGTGAAGTGGGAGTGCAATGCTCTCTGAAAAATTCCTGAGACATTACCAAACATTGTCAGAGCCAAACTGAATGAGAATTACATGCTTATTCGTAAAAGGCCTGTCCATTATTGCATGTGCTGCTCCTGCAGGAATGTGACACTGCGATTGTTCTGTTTAACTAAACACTGTAATTAAACTCAAGAGATGGTTTATCTTAAACACTCATCAGTGTGTGATGAGGTTCTTCTTTCTTGAATGTTTCAGTTGTGCGTTTGTCTAGACTAAAGGAAACAAAGTTGTGAAAATAACAATGCCTTCCTGCCCGGCGAACTCTGAGACATCCGCACGCCTTTAGCTGTTTATTAAAACTTTTTCAATAGGTCTATACCTTATTTTCCAGATATAAGAAAAAAGCGTAAGTGACTGGAAATGACTCAGTATTCATATCCTCAGAGGAAACCTCCCATAAGTCTCTCAGACAAGAGTTCCAGCTGAGAGCGGATGTGAATGAGTCAGTGCTGATTATATCCCATTCACAAATACAGTCCGGCTCAGGGGCTGAAACTGGAACCGGATAAACACTAGAGATGCTTGTGCTGAGATACCGGCTGCTGTACATGTTCAGAGAGAGTAGTTTTCTTAACCCTGTGAAGCCTGACATATGAAATGATAGTCAGAAAAATTACGGGAATTTAAAAACATATTTAAAAAGTTTGTATATATGTTTTATGTCATATTAACACATCAGGCTTTTATGACTCGTATAGAATGATATAGTGAGAATAAGGAGGAAAAAAAAAAAAATTTTTTTTAAATACCCAAACTGAGCAAAAATATGCAATTTGGTGCAGATGCTGATATTTATATGATGAAATTCCGATGCTTGTAATGTAAATCAATGAGATCTTTAAAACATTATAGCAGATACTTACTTAAAATGATATAAATATCAGTCATCACTCTGTATATCTGCCAATAATATGTAGTAAGATGATATTTAAATGCTTAGTTTTGATGATCTAAAAATATAATGCAATGCAAAACAATGATGATTGAAAGATGAACAAATAAGCGTTCCTCAAAAGCCTGATGATCATATTAGATACTCACATTTTAACATGCTTTTTCTAAAAATGATGCATTGTTAATCAAGCAAGCCTAATATTATTCTTAAATTATTTAAGGTTACTCTGCATTTGAAATGTCTATAATTGCACACACAGCAATGATGCATGATATTTGCCTCTGCAAATCAATATCTAATAATGACATCAATCTCTCTTAGGCTGTTTATCAATAGCCGCTAATCCAAAGTAGATCTGTTTCATATTTCTAAGCAGACACACTGACAAAAAAAACAAAGCCTCATCGGCATCCTTTGTTTGAATGCAAGAGACAAATATGGGAATATTATTTTAATCTATCCTGTTTTCACCCAACAATGCATTAGCCTTCGAAGTCTATAATA